TATTAATTAACAGCTGTGTCTAAGGAATATGTCGGCCTTAGTCACTAACAAGACTACAAGATCGTGCAACCTATCCTACACTCATCTTGGCTTATACCATAGATAAAACATACTCCCTTATACCTACTTTGTAAAAATACCGTTTCAATAAAAAGTATTAAACTAGTATAGTACTGTTTATTTTTTTCATTTACTAGATTAAACCTAAAGCTGAAGATTGACCCCAATCCCTCAGATAACGGAATTATTGCATAGATTAATCCCTTCACTAAGCAGTTGCGTAGTTAGAGTTGGAATTTTAAAAACTTAAATAATTGATGATTAGTGTGATTACAACGCACCCTTCCTTTCCCCTTTTCCTTTTTCCTTGTGTCTAGAACGTAAATCCCGCTCTTTACTGTTAGACTTAGACCAAATCTCATTCATCATTATCTTTACAAATCTGTCAATTCAAAACATTGTTGTATATTTTAAACCCAAACTCATCGTCACAATGACATACCTTTCTGAATCTTTTTACTACCCTACTCGGTAAGCCTACAGATTTGAACACCCCTCAGCCGAAATTAAAACAAGGAAGGGTGTAAGCTAATCTAATCAAGCAAGGACAATGAGTTGATTGTGCCTGGATGAGGGTTTGGGCCATCTAATTACCAGATTTAATGAAGACGTAGCCAGCAGGTAAGATAATTCCCTCGTTACTTCAGTCTCAGCCGGTCGTATTTTAACAGCTGATTGGAAAGAAAAGCCCGAGGCGTCGTCATAAACTGAAGAGCAGCGTCTTTAACATCCTTAATAAAGCCGTTGACGATTGTATTCTTTTGATATTTTCATTATGGGAATTGAGCGTCGGTTTTGAGATTGAGTGCTGGCATTTGTAAATAATGTTGTAATTATTTTTGAAACCCCATATTGTTGGAAGTATTTTTTTCTGTTATAATTTTTATGGTACAAGAACACTTCCTATTTTATTGTAAAACTTGTTTGTTTTTTAATGGTCATTCTATATGTTGCTGATATTTGAGTTTGCTAAATAATCCATTCTTATGTTAGGGAAAACTGTACATTTATCGCTTCACACTTGGAGTAAAATACTTGAGGAAAAGCAATATACTGTTATGTTTTTAGAGATCATGTAACTTAGAGTGAATTGCATTTGGCGTGATTAAATTGCACTGAACTAATAGGCAGGGCCGAACTTACCTAGGGGCGGACGGGGCGAGCGCCCGGGGCCCCTGGGCCTAGGGGGGCCCCGAAGGGGCCCCTTGCACAGTAGTTTTTATTAATATCTTCGAAAATTAATCAGTCACTTACCGAATGATCTTCTTTTTTAACAGCTTTATTGTCGTTATCCTATATTTAAGGCTATTGTTAGATGAATTTTAAGGTATTACTAGGACCAAAATTCTTGACTCTAAGGGACTTTTCCTCAGGGTTGCACTGGGCCCCGCGCTTGGACCTAGTTTACACGGGCATAGCTGCTAGGCTGTGACGGACCAGTTTGAGTTTCAACTCGATAACCTACGGCCGCGGTGATTGAGTTGAAGGGGTCCCCTTCGCTTGGGGCAAAAAATACAATAAATAATATGAAAACTCTTGTCCTAACGTAGAACGTAACTTGTAAAATTGTGTTGGGGTTAAATGGAGATTCAATTGAGATCTAATACTTTTGAAAAATAAAAACATTGTTTGAAAAATATGTTTTATTAGATGTTATTCTTTTACCTCTAAGTATATGCCATTCACGATTTTAAGGGGCAGAAGTATTATATTAACCATTCAATTAAAAGGTTTTATAAAATAGTAATTAAGTTATACGTCGAAATTCTGATCTTCAATTTAGTCGACAGAGTCAAAATCATACAGCGCCAGTAGGATACAAAATCTATATAGACATTTTATGACAACTAGGGTCGTCTGATGTTAACAAAAATTACAATGGGTGGTGTGAATAAAAACTAGTATTTGCTTAAACTAAGCTGATTTTAAGTATATTCTAAGTTTTAAGTGAATAAAAATAGTCAGAATATACTACCCCTAGTAAATTCTAAGACCACCAAATGACTAGAATTTTCTAACCTTTGTAGGTGAATAAACTCTAGTTTTTACTAGCCAGGGTTAGTATATTCTTAAAGATTTTTAAGCTAGGGGTAGGCAGGCTAGCTTTCTAGTGACAGATGCCAAAGTAGGGTTGTCATTCAGTCAGGGCTATGTTTATGATAGAAAAACGCACTGTGATAGCCGTGAGTTAGATGTAGATATGTAAATCAGCTTATACGTTTTACTAGTGAAAACATGGATTGTCAACATGAATTTTACAACAAGTGAATTTTTAAAACTGCTGTAGCAGTACTAAACGTTGAAGTTCCGCAAGTGATCTTTGGTTTCATCAGTTTTATATTAGTTTTTATTTTGTTTTCCTCATTAAAAATTTATTTTTACCCCTCCAATTTACCAGTGGAAGAAAAAGAAGGTCCTTAGAGTGGGTCTCCTTCATTTTCTGCGTGTCTCTTAATGCCCACTGAAATGCAACGGGTAACATTACTAAACACATCTTTTCTTCCTGATTCATAATATCTAGAAATTCATTTTCCCAGTCTTTCGGCTTGATGGCTTTGTTTCCCATAGCTTTCATATCCGTCTTCTTTTTCAACCAGTTTTAATATTTTATAAGTTTTTTTCACTTGTGCCTCACTAAAAACCTTTCCTAATACATTGCTAAACTTTTTTGTTAATAAGGACAAGGCTTTAGTATTTGTTTGCATTTTTTATTTATCCATGACAATATATACTGTAACTATTTTTTTAACGATTTTTAACAGCAATGCCCGATCAACATTCTTTCCTACCTCATCCACATGATCATCCAGCTCTTCTTCTGAGCGCATGGAGGGTAATCTTCACTTGCAGACAGATAAAGCTAGACTGAGGTATTCCTGTGTAGTGTGTGGAAACAAAGGGCACCAAGGCGGTGATATGTTCAGAATTGAAAGTTTGCGTCATCTTAGTATTTTCTAGACCTAGTTTATTCTAACCTGTTAGAATATACTAGGATTCGCCAAATGACCCAAGTATATTCTAACTAGTTTTAGCAAATTCTTATTCACCTCGTTTTGAGAATTAGCTAAAACTAGTTAGAAAATACTAATAAGAATATACTAGTTTTATTCACTCCACTGCATATTTAGGAGCGGGCGAGCGTTGTCGACTGAAATCGTAAGAAAGCGCTCAGCAAGCAGCTGCAACAATAAATGATAATGAACTGATAAGGGATCCTGTCTAGTCTTGTCTGTCTCACGCACGCGCATACACATACATACAATGCCTTATCGCCAATCCAAAACAATTTAAATCACTTTACTCCCAGTGTGTTTTTGGTTGACATTGTCGTACTTTTGTGTTGTATTTTATTATTAATTCTGCAAACACTACAAAGAACAAATTAATGTTGTATTGAATGTTATGTTTGTGTTGTATTAATCGATATTGAATACATTTAAACATCTTTCAGTTACTCATATAAATGGTTAGCTTGTGATTTGTTATTAGACTTGTATCGTAACATTTTACTCGTCAAGAAAAAACTCAAACTCGTTAAAGTTCTTAATGGTACTTTTCATGCTAGGACTTTTAACATATTATACAAACAAGAATTCCATGCCAAAACCACTATGAAAATAAACATAAGTCATAGTTTATGGTTTTATCGTTTTAGTGCAGCCAAGAAATGTAGGAAAAGCAGGGGGTTTTAATTGCCATGTCAACGTGACCAACGTATCAGAGTAGGAAGTGACATTTATTTATAGGGAAAATAATATAGGCTAACTATGTTCTAAACTTTATAATGATTAATCTATAAAAAGTAAACTTTAAAATTGTTTTGACTTGTATCTTATAAACTTAGTACAGTAAAAGGTTTGTTAGTAAAATTATAGTAGGTTATAAAATATATTAAAGCTTTAAAAGTTTATGCATTATCTCTGACTTACATCACGTGTTTAAATATAACTTATTCCATTAATTAATGTTAGTTATTTTTTATTTGAGTTTTCATTCAAGCACCAAATAGAATGTGTATTACAGTAAAAAAATTAAATTAAACCTTTTACAAGTATGTGTTATTTTATTTTTATTTTATCTATAGGCTAGTTTTCATTATTTGTTGCAAAGGATATTACATTTTAATGTATTGCAAAAAATGTGTAAGGTACCTGCTAGGTATATTAAAATTTTATAAATACAATTACAACAAGAACAAATCATAACATAACACCATACATTGTATCTATTTTCAGACTTAAAATATTACATAAAATTAGTTTATGCAAAATACAGCATTCTAACACGTTTACATATTAATTCACCTTGAAATTACCTATTTAAAATTAGTGTGCATGTAAATGCGTTACATTGTGTACCATATGTTACATTGTGTACCATATATAATATATGGTACACAATGTAACGCATTTACATGCACATGTTCTCGTATAATTATACTGGGGGCCCCATCGGCAAATTCGCCCGGGGCCTCTGAAGTCCTAAGTCCGGCCCTGCTAATAGGATACTACAATCAGCATTTTACATAATACTAGCTGCTGTACCCATGCTTCGCAACGGGAAGAAAATCAGTGTCCATTGAAATAGATTTAGAAAAAATAATCTATCAAGTTTTAGATTCAATAATTCTACCGCATAGTTGTGTAAAATGTCTTTTGGACCAGCTTTCTTTCTTTGGATCAGCTGTCTGAAATTGTGAAATGAGCATTTGACAGTTCTGATTGTTTACATTTAAATGTCAACACAAAGGTAAACATTGTGAACTTTCTGATGCTTTCATGGAAACCAATTACCCGGGCGCCCCCACCAATGTAAACCATAGGCAGTTTAATGTGTTTCAGAGGATATGTCTCTTTGCAATTCTCATAGTCAATCGTTTGTAAAAACTCGTTGTGACAATTCGTAAAACTCCAAGTTCTTCAAGATTTTCTTTGTTGCAGACACATGGGGCTCATAGAAGAAACTCCAGAAGTACTCCCCTGTGGCCAGACTCCTGGCCTGTCGCCTGGTCAGTCAAAGTTGTGCCACCTCTACCAAGACCACATGCCCGGGGTCGGCCGAGGGGCGAGGGCCGGCATCGACGAATGTCAATACCAGTTCAGGCATCGTCGTTGGAACTGTTCAATCGTCCATGACTCAACAGTGTTCGGACCTGTTGTGAAAATAGGTAGGAAAAGGGGTTTCTATTGACGGTTCTTTCGACTATAGAATATTCTTTAGCTGCAGTAATTGTATTTAGTTTGAGAAAAAGAATTATGTGCATGCAGCCGTATTTAGTCGAAAAAGGAATTTCCTGCAGTGATTCTTTTAGTTTGTAAGAATGATATTCTACAGCGGCAGTTTCTACAGCATAGTAAAAAATATTTTGAAACCCCGGTGTTTCTTCAGTCTAGGAAAAGAATATTCTGAAAACTTAGTAATTCTTAAATCTAACTAGGTGAAACATATTCACAATTCTCTTCCAGAACTGTGCATACTTTTCCTCATAGACTGTCCACATTCCTACTTCTGAATGGTCTTGTTGCCAAACTGTTCTTTTGGGCTGTCCACACTTCTATTCCCGGACTACCACACTTTTCCTCCTAGCCTGTCCACATTTTTACATCTGGATTGTCAACACATATGTTCCTAAACTGAACTGCCACACTTCTACTCCTGGAATGTCCGCAGGCAGCAGAGAGGCGGCGTTCACTCACGCCATTGCCGCTGCCGGAGTTGTCCACAGCATCTCCCGCGCCTGCAGGGATGGTCAGCTGGGCTCCTGCGGGTGCTCCAGGTCTGGACGTCCGAGGGATCTACACCGGGAGTGGATCTGGGGAGGATGCGGGGACAACCTGGAGTACGGGTACAAGTAAGTGTTGAGAAAAAAATCCTGACTTACCTGTGGAGCATTTCATAGAAATCCATTTTCCACAAGAACATGAAACTTGTTAAAGTTAAGAAAATAAGGTAGTTTATTTGTGCTTGAACATCTAAGTAAAAACCTAGACTTTGTTAGTCCTTCAAACCCGCTACCACAATATTGAAAACAAGATTTTGGAGTCATGTCCATTTTATGTGCGATGTGTATTTCAACATTGCAGTTCATTTCTCTCTATTTTTATTAGAAATTATATGAATTTGTAGTCTTCAAGTAGGATTTTGCAGCCGGGAATTCGTAGGCTGAATATCAGTCTATGTTATAGATGCTATAGTCACTGATGCCTCTTCAAAGTTAAGTCAAAACGTCTAGCAGTAGGCCTAATTTCCAACTGACGACGTGGTTGAAGCCGAAAACCACTGTTGATTCCGATATAATTTTGTATTCCTATTTCAAACCCAAAATTTGTTTTCTACTTTCGTACATACTATTATAACAGTTTTATTATTATGTTGGGGAACGAGACGGTCTAGTGGCTTCAGAGCTCGATGTCCTGGGTTCAAATACCAATGGATTTCATCCATGTGATAATGCCGCAACCCTCTAGGGCCTAAAGTAATGTGTACAACTGCTAGAACCTAAGGCAAAAATCCTAGGATGTAAAGTTGGGAGAAAAAAACTATTACACTAGTACACTTTCTCTCAAACAATTAACCTCTAGACACTAATTTTAGCTCAATTTCGAATGTGCTTGACATATCGGTTTTGAATACTCAGCTATGCCAGCTGCAAGCTACTAATCCCTCGTGGTTGCATGTCTCAGGTTCACACAAGGGTTTGTGGACGTGAGGGAAAGAGAGAGGACGTTCAGAAGAGGTTCAAGAGAACAAGGCAGAGCGCTCATGAACCTTCACAACAACGAGGCAGGCAGAAGGGTAAGCTTAGTCAAATTGTGTTTTAAATAAGAAACAGTTAGGCCTATTAGTCACCCAGAAAAAACATAAACAAACAGATACAGATCATTTGCAAAGCAAGTTTTAAGAACTCTTTACGTGCTCTATTCTTTGGTGAGAGGAATTAATGACCTGAATAATGCTTCAGAAGTTTTTAGTAAATGCAGATTAAAGAACCTACTTTTTCACATGCTATATCTTTTATTTCAACGATTTAGGCAACTCCTCAGGGGAGGTTCCTGATGAATAGAAAAGAGATTTCTTGAACAACAGATCTTCCAAGAACACATTTCAATCTGCACTGTTTTTCGACAATAGAAATTATTCAAGCTTACCTCATTGAAGCTTCTTGCCAAAATATTGAACTCACAGTTATTGATAAGTAAAACCTTTTCTATGTTTCAGGCAGTGATAAAAACCTCGAGAGTAACTTGCAAATGCCACGGAGTCTCTGGATCGTGCAGTCTTATCACTTGCTGGCAGCAACTGCCTTCATTCCGACAAATTGGTTAGTATCATTGCTGTGGGTTGGTTTGTGTTCAATCATCGACTTAAGATCCTGAAACAGAACACATTCTATGATTGTAGATTGAACTAGACGTCCAATTCCAATGTCAAAGTTGTATCCTTGTCCCCTGTCTTGACAGAATATCCTGCTTTTAGTCACTGATTTCTGTGTGATAAATTTAAACCAATCTAAACGCACAACTTCACTGTAATCTACAGAATCGTTAGTGCTGCAGCAAACTATTTTAAAATAACTAAGGGAGGACAAACATAATTTTAACAGAAACACACTCTGTTAGAAGCGAACTCAACCATGTTATCTTTGAATAAACACTTGTGGGAGCTGGTCCATATAGATGTCTTATTTCAGAATCCGAAAGTCACGGTTTAAATTAGTACTTCATTTTGTACATCTGATATATATTTATTATCAAACACAAGCTTAACTTATGTTCCACACTTTGTATCGTACTTTGACTGCTTTTCAATACATGTAAGTATATGAGGCCAGATGTGTATGTAGCCGAGCGGCGCCTAGTTGCATGTAGCTTTAGTTTATGCGACTCGCCGCTATTCTTGTAGCTGTGGGTCGACCTGTTTGATATTCCTAAAAATCTGCTAAACATTCTTTTCGTTGAGCTCCCCCGTGTCGTTTCTGTTGTTTATCGTCTTGTGTTACATGGATTAGTTCTCATTCCATTAGGTATGTTGAAACCGGGCCAAATTATAGCCACTGTAACAGTGGTGGTCTTTTCTGGTTCTTTTGTGGCACGTGGTTGTTATACGAATGTACTGTAGTCTACTCGATTAGATTTTTAATAATTAGTCAACCTTATAATAAATCAATAATAAATAGCTAATACCGTAACTAATAAATAGTATGTTCTACTAAACTTAATTTTTACTTTTTCCCCCTATGTATACCTAGTATATGGAGAAAGTATTGTTTAAATGGTGATCTAGTGTGGCATTCCCATGACAAAGCGTATATTCACACCCTAACCTATCTAGCTGACGAAAGCAACTTTATTTCAACCGATGTTTCACATGTGCAGTTCTTACACCTAACCAAACAGCCAAGGAAGTAATAAACATTATCTTGTCTCGAGAGTATTCTGCCAACACAGGATAAACACACAAGTTAATCCTTTGCTATCTGTTTATTCTAAGAGACGTCTTAAGGAAAGTCCGTAGACTCATTCTAATTTCACTTGTGATAAGTACGACCATAAAAGACACGCACGTCAAGCCTCGTCTAGTGTAAAAAGCTTAAGTTATTCACCGCTTGTCTAAATCCGTTTTCGTTTACTCGCTCTTGTAAAGCGGCCGAACCGTTTGTGAGGATTACCGCAAGGCTTATTCTTGGGACCAACAATATTTACTGTCAACAGCCACGCCTAGCTTGCGCCTGTTGCACGTTTAAAGGCACTTGGGATTGTGAATCGAGAACATATAAATATATCTAACTTCGTATAGTAGCTTTACTATATTCCGCAATTGACCAAACATACAATACCAACAAGAAGAGAAGACATATAACTCAGATTTGTCATAGTTCCTCGAACCTTGGTATATCTATATAGAGCGTTCTATTGTCGGTATCCACTAAAAGGCTGTCCTTGTTTAGTAATGTTTCCATAACATAACCTAGGCCTGTCAACTACAGCTAAACTCCTGCAGACGTTTGACAGGTATACGCTCGGTTTAGCTTGTCACACCCGATTTATGCATTCGCCAAGGTCAGTCCACAGTTTGGGTGGCGGTCACGCTCACTTGACCTTTGTACCTCTTTAGATCACGTATCGTTCTCCTTCCAAGCAATCCAATCCAATACCTTATCCAACCGGTATGGTTCCCAATTCCCACCTTCGTAATAAAAGATTATATGTGTAGTTTAGGAAGAACAAACATGTTGGATTGTACTTAACTTTTGGCAAGACTTAAAAAACTTAAGTGGTAATGCTTATCTTATAAATATATTCATATGCATCAAATATCTCTGCATTCAGAGAATTTTATGATGCAAGATCATGGTGGAAGGAAGAAACATAGTCCCGTCATATGCTGATGTCACCTAGGTTGCAAATACCATTTACACCATTTAGAAAAAATTATAAAAACAATAACAATCAAATCAAAACAAATATATACAATAAGGTGATTTTTTGTTTGCAATCTGGGTGACGTCAGCATATGACGGGAATAGCATGTTTTTTTCCTTCCACCATGATGCAAGATGCAAGTTAAGCTGTGTGAATGAGTTCCTTGTCTCTTAATCAGATGGTCACCAGTTCGAGCTTGAGAAAGGTCAGGACCTTTTGGTGGTTTGTAACAAGGCCCAGCTGTCCTAGACCACTTAGCTTTTAATATCCTTAACTAAAGAACCAGTTGCTTAGTAAAGCTATCTCACATTCAACACACTTGCTTTACTTCATCCTCGTCTCCACCCTTCACTAACCTGTACGTTTCTTTTGCAGGAGACTATTTAAAGGATAAGTACGACGGAGCCACGGAAGTAAGGGCGACAAGACGAGGCAAGCTGCAGATCAAGGACCCTCAGTTCAACATCCCTACAGCCAACGATCTCGTATACTTAGAGGAGTCACCAAACTACTGCATACGCAACCTCACTCTGGGGTCTCTTGGTATGTTGAGGATCCATTGTGGAACTAATAGCTAATAGCTTCACTAAAACTTGTGTATGTTTTAAACTGATTATGAATGCACACTGGATGTAGAATCTTTGATTTTTGATGGGTTTAGATTTTTTGAGTGTTATCGCATTTTCAAAAAATTTAATTACCTTGTTTGTTGCCTGCATTTCTTGAGCTGAACACAAACTACTAGCTCAGAACGCAGGCCACAAGGTAATTAATATAGGTGTAGCATTCCATTACCACGTTAGAAAGCTTTAGCATAGTGACTGAAAATTAATGTAGGCCTAGTTTAAATAAAGCTCCAGCAGCTCAATGCTGTGTAAGGTACCTTTTAGTAGTCAACCTTATTCCTTGCATTTAGACTTTTTGGAGGTTTCCAGGATTTTCTAATTGACTGATTCCATAGATAAGCAAGGACCAGAGGATAATTTGGGTATTTTAATGGAAAGTTTTCCCGGGTTCCCTCACGACTTTTTTTAGCTTAATGTAAATATTAGCTGTTCATAGTTAGGGTGAAGTGGAGGGGATGGAATGACTTCCACTCAAACCGCCTAAATTTTGTGAACGGAGTTTAGTGTTGGTGTCTAGGGCATATTCCAACACCGCCCCTCTTGCCATCATGTTGGTATTACATCTTTCCCTGTGGAGGAAGACCCTGTGTGCCCTGTGCGATAGGAATTTCCTTACAGTCCTTGCCCTTTAGGCTCTTTCTTACTTGTCACAAGAGCATTTCTGGCCAAAATTCTCATTGCTAAAAGCACAAGGTTGCCCATAAGCGTGTTTCCTCTGTACCTTACTTTCATGTGCTGATACTCAAATATGAGTTATTTGTTTACTGCTCTGAAGTCTATTTGCAAAATGTACAGTTCTAATTATACCTATCAATTGCCTCAGGCCAGGACAATGTTGTTAGGGTGACCAGGTCTTCACAAAGACTTAATTACGGCTGATTTCGATAATTACTTACTTCTTTGTCATACAAAGAATTTTTAATCAGCACAATTTTTTAAGTGCATAAATATTTCATGTAATTTGTGGCATATTATTTTATGATATGTCAATAATATCAGTACCAAAATCTATGAGAAAATTGAATTCTGACAGCAGCGCACTTTGCGAGTGGTTCATTCACTTATGTGCTAATTTAATAAACAATTGACTTCATCTGGTTCATGTGGAGAATTCCTTCTTCAGTTTCCATAAGCCAATTGAATTACTGGCTATGATCAGATGGTTCTTTACGTAGGACAGGACCATTTATTCCAATGAACAAGGATAGCTGTGTCCTGTTTTGAACCATCGAAAAGCTTATGACTTTTCTTAAGATCGAACCGTACTAACTTTCCAATTACTAGGCAAGCACTACTTTATGCTCTCACCAATGAAACAGAAATTTTACCTTAAAATTCTGTTTTCTTGTTCTATAATTAACTTAGTACACTTTCCTCCGCAGGTACACAAGGTAGAGTGTGCAACAGGACGTCTCACGGCATGGACGGATGCAGTCTCATGTGTTGTGGCCGAGGCTATAACACGCAGAAGATTACCATCAAGGAGCGATGTCATTGCAAGTTCCACTGGTGTTGTTTTGTGGACTGCAAAACTTGTGTGAGGACTGTAGACATCCATACATGCAAGTAGACGGAAAAACAACGCAGGAGGTTTTCCATTATACTTCAAAATTGGAAAAGGTTGAAATATTTTGATAGGCATAAAATTTTAGGTGCAATTAGTTTTGGCTCATAAATACATGGAGCCATCATCAGGAACAATGGTCATCACATGCCATCATCCTTGTGCCTGATGATGGCTCCATGTATTTATGATGGCTTGTTATGATCCTTGTGCTGGATGATGGCTTCAGGTAGAAGCCGAAACTAGTTGCACCATCTGCAATTTTATCGATTGCCTAATAAATTCAGAGGTCAGCACATTCAATTAATCTATTTGAATTTTGACTTTGGTCAAGGGGGTAACAGTATGAGTATGGACTACTTGAGGCTATGCCAACCTGAAATTTTGAAACATAAAGAGAAATTGTCTGTTATTATTTATTTTGTAATGAGTAATCATGAAAATGAGGTTGTGAAAAATGGACATGTAATACCACCATGGTAATGGTCCAACAGTTTTGAACAGTTAATAAACTGAATTTCCATTGAGTAGAATAAGGATAGAGTTCATCTATAGATCACCCCCCCCCCCCCCAGTGATCAGATTCATAGTAAAAGTTCTCATAAACATAACACTTGCATTTTGACTTTTTCAAAGAGAGGAAATGTTACTTCAAACGCTCTTTTCAAGTATTCGTGCTCCAAACTCAAAATCATCTCAGCTCAAAATTTTTTTACCTCAAATGTAACTTATTGTAAAGTGAAAAACTCCCTTTTTTACACTTTTTCTTTTAGTTCAGAGTTTGGTTTGTATAACTTAATAATACTAATTTGGTGTATCAAGCAACAACATTATTTATACCTGTAAATTATTATTATGGTAAATACCACCATTATTTTTATTATATAGCCTATGTCATGGTGCAAATTAAAATTATCAATGGAGCATTTTATTTTGAGCTTTTCTGTTGTATATTGCCTGCTATATAACATCTTTCCCAAAAAATGTATTGACAAATAATGGAAAACCATAGAAATACCTATTTTAGGTGTGCATTACTTTTTCAAACTAAATCAATGAATTGGTTCAAAATATTGTAGGTACTAGTAAGTTATATTGTAAACAAGGTTTTAGACAGTTCAAAATATGTTTTAAGTGTTTTTTTTTATAAATATGTTTTGCAGTGAGGGCTTTTTACGGTTAAAGCTTCCTAAAAAAATATTTTTGTTGGCAATGGTGTAAAAAATTAGCAATTTTCAAATAATTTGCCATTGCTAACATTACCCGTCACACGATAATAACGTGGCGTCACGATGAAACAGTGTATACTGTATGTAGCAGCTTTATGTTCAGACGATTAAAGTAATTGAAAATATTCCGCATAAATTCAAACAGGGGAACACATCATCTTTTAACAAGAAAGTGTGCATAATTTTCAGGCAAATTTGTATTTAGTTTAAAGAAGTAATGCAATCTTGTTAACTCCTGTTTAATCCCACCTAGAAAAATCACGTTTAAAAATTCAATTTCTTAACTGATTTCAGAAATTGAATTTTTATAGTACAAATTCACAAAATGTTTTATAATATTCCATTCGATCATTTACTATTCATGTGTTAGCTTTAAAATGTACAGCTATTGAGAAAATAATTTTAGTACATAGTTCATTCCTGAATTACTTTTAAAACTTCAATGGTTTATGTATGATAAAATGCATGGTATAATAAATCTAAAATTTCTCTTACACTTCAAATTGCATTTTTAGTTGTAAATTGTATTAACTTCAGAACTTTTAAACTGAATACATTTTTTCCAAGTTCATATAACTGTAATATAGTACTATATTATACGTGTACTGATAAAGTTGTAGAAACTCTAAAAAAAACACACTTATAAGTTAATTAATCAATCACAAAATGCAAATTTAAATTGCAATTGTATTAATATAAGTTTTATTGTAATTGTAAAAATTCAATTCAAAATATTACTCTTATTGTTATCTTTTCTCATGCATTTCACCATTATGATAATATCATACTTGTACAAATTTATCAATTAATTACCTTTTTGGTTTTTCTTGCCTTGAAGTTCTTGTTGGTTTTTGATACCTGATGCGCATTTCGCCACAGGTTGTGGCATCTTCAGAGTTCACTATCCTCACTATCCTACAAATTTATGTAGTTCATCGACTTATTATATAGACAAAGTATTGTATGTTATTAATTTATTTTGTATGTACAAATAACCTTTTTGTAAATAAAGTGTCTGTAACTTCTTTACTCTTTAACTTAAAAGAGGTTTAATAATTGTGTATATTCAAACTACTGTGCCAAGGACGTTTTTGTGTTGTGGCATATTGTTGTTAAACATGTATAACTTGTACTTATTTGTATTTTGATATTTCTTTTATATGTTCATATAAGTGTGTGAATGGTGTCACTGACATGTTCTGTGAGGCAGCATTAAAATGCTTAAAATCGAATAGCATAGTTATTATTTCCTCCTCATTGTTTCCTAACCCTTTCAACCCTATGAAGGCTGATACATCTGCCATCAAGATTAACCTAAACAAATCTCCTGTTACAACAATATGCAGGGTGTTTTTTAAAGCATGCAAATAGATACAACTACCCATAAGAGACTTGTTACCTACAAAACCAGCTTATATGTTGGTATCACTCTTTTTTTTACTTCATTGCCGATCATCTAATATGCATTGTTGCATTGATATCTATGAGGTTTAGTGTTATGGAGAATGTATTATAAACAAGACTCAACATGTGTTTTTTGATAGTTCAAATTATGGTATGTTTGCGTTTTGGGGGTTTTACTGATCCGATTTCCTTAAATATTTGACAATTCTATGAATAGTTGTTTTTTCCCATTGGAATCACACATGGCAACCTTATTTCAATCCTGTCTTGGCAAACTAATGATTTACTTTTGATGTACAATACATCCAGAACTCTTTGAGCTTGCAAAAACCCCATGTTGAGTGTTAAATAAATTCCCAATAGCACTAAAACTCAGATAACTATTCAACAATGCATTGGCTGATTGGCAATAAACTATGGGTAACAACATATGAGCTTGTTTTGTTATCATAAATTGTTTTGTAATTTGGGTTGTGTGAAAAAACACCCTGTATAGTTAAAGAAAAACAGAAGTCAAGTTTAGAACTACACTGTAGTACACGTAGGCTACAGGGTTGTGGCGCATAGACCGTTGGGGATGGTCATTTACCAGTGTTGTTTTCTAGACCAGAAGACAACACCTAGATTGAGGTTTTGAGTCAAGTCTGAACGGTCTGGTGTGCAACTCAGAACTGAGAAGTTCGCCAGTATGGGACAGAGCTAGTAGGAGAGGCCCACCTAAAAAAATGTGTGCTCAAGCCAAGTGAAATGTTATAGGATAGGAAGTGTAGAATCTTTGTGAGTTGCACATCAAGTAAAATCTATAGTAAAATATTGCATACAGCTGGTATTGTACTATTGAAAGTCAATGTAGGCCTACATGGTATGTCCTTCAGTGTTAAAAGCTTGGACTATGGACATAAATTTTCCATCCAAAAGTCAAATCTTAACCAACCATGATGTTAGTAAACCTAATAAACTTAACAGACAACAAATATAGGAAAGGTGAGTGCTGGTCTCAGTAAAAAAAATGAAGTGAGTCATTACTCATTAAAAGTGAATAGAATGTATGATAGGTAATATAACATACCAGATTGGGTAAAGGCTGACTATACACAATAGACTTCCCATGTATTGTAAAAATTTGAAGCAAAAAAAAGTGGTGCAATCTGTCAAGATGGTCACCAACTGACAATATTCTGTGTTAAGTGATAAATCAACCAGCTGTTTGCACTGCATTCGTTTTAAAATATTCAACCCAATATAACACTCCCAATAGTAAACTCTGGTGAGATGGTCCTATCATCTATTTTCTTGGCTTCAAACTTTCATATCACATGGGAAGTCCATATTTTAGTGGTGTTGTTATCTTTGTTCTTTGAAACCCATACATATGTGAGTTACTTCACCCAGGTGACATAAATTATACACATCTTATCTACAAGAACTTGCAATTCCAATTCATTTTTGAAACTGGGATAGCAATGAGAAATATGTGAGGATGGAAATAGGACCAAAGAGGAGATTTTGATACAGAAAAATAACATTCTGCCACTGTGAGCTTAATGTATGGAAATAAAGGCAAAAAGGAGTTTTGACCTTACAGTAAAAAGCTCACTGACTGAGGAAACATATGTCACTGTGAGCTTTCATCCTGCCTCCTGGGGCCCATTTCATAATAAAGTACAAACTAATATTATTAGTAAATCAGCTGATCGCCCAATGCAAATCTAATGGAAATTACAAGTTACAAGTTGTAACTTGTAACTTGTAGTTTATTATGAAACGGGCCCCTGGATGGGAAAAATGGGCAGAGTTCCAAAACCCCACTGGTACGGTGCATGGGTACTATATATTATCCCTCAATAAGTACTGTATAGGGGTATAGGTATCTGAAACAGAGTAGGTACTAGTTCTGACTACAAAACATTTAATTTCTGGTGGCCCCCCTTTAGTAGGAATGTAAGGGTTTTTACCCCCAGAAGTTTAGTTACCCTACTTGATTCCTGGTTCTTGGTTCTGCTCTTCTTTGAATTTCTGTAAGCCAGAATGCTATGTTTTTTTATAAGTACGAATGCAGTGTAATAACCTATCCCTAGCACAAGAAAATTAATTCCATATAACTGGGTAAGGAAGAGAAGCAATGTGAAATTGTGCTAAAGTTAATTGCTACGTATATTAAATTTTTGTATATATGTTGTATATATGTTCAAGGGTATTCCGTTATTCCCTAGATTTTATTTAGTGCAATTCTTTCCATATGCCGAATAATGTTCCAGGAACAATCGTGTAACAGTTTCATCAACCCCGTATTAAAATTTCAGATAGGTCAACTACCAGACCAGGTGCACAAAAACAATGCCTCTTATGAACAGTTTATGAAAAAATCCAATAGGTAGTCAATTGGGCCAACAAAATAATGATCTACCTTCAGCTCGACGTTACGTACAGCGTACAGCAGGAGTCTGTGTTTTATATGGTCAAAGATTGATGCTACAATAGATTTAATGCATACATTTGTGGATAAACAATGCATGTACTATACGTTGATATGTCACGAACGATCCTCATTCACTATCACTTTGTGGTGCAAACAATTTTTACGAGTTGTTACTTTCTCGGGAAAAATTTTCCAGATTAATTTAATATTTCTTCCTATTAATCTCACTTCACTATATCCTAATTAATTAATAAAAATCCATATGCAAAGGTGTGTCCTATTGCATTTTGATTTGCTTAATTCAATAAAGAGAGCTACTTTATATAGTATAGTATACATCACTAATGTATAAAGATACGATATTCTACAGGCATTGAGTTTATTTTAGTCTTGGCTGTTTCCATTGCTAATGTCGTCTGCTTTTAGATCGTCGTCTGCTCAACAGAAACGCCTCCTCTTCGTTGAGTGGTGTAGAAACGTGGACCAGAGGAGGAAATCTGAAGTTATGTTTTGAGTGATAATGTGAACTTATTAGTGTATTAAGTAATATTACGTCTGTTAAAGTGGACACCTTCCTCAGTGTTTTCTACACCCCCCAACGAACGAACGAAAATGGCGACTGAATTTGGAACTGGCAAAACAATCTTCATACTGGCCATAGTTGTAGGTTGTTTTGCTATATTATGGCCGAAGATATTTTATCCAATGCTTCAGTCTTCAGTTGCACCTAAACCCACTACAGTTCCAACTGCAGGTAGGCGTCTAAATTTAATTTAATAATAATTTTGGTTACGAATTCCTAGTTACAAAAAGGTTTGTTTTCCTCAGGCCAGGATCTAGGCCTAGTCCTAGTTTACATTTAACCTTTGTGTAAAGCACTTAAAAGCTGAAACTTAAAAGCAATCAAAACTGATGGCCTAGCAAATAAGTTTGAACATTCATTCAGTGGTAAATCCTAGGAAGACCTCATTGTTTATTTTTGGATTCGATTTATGCAAAACTTATTGTTTGCCTTTTTAACTGCATATTGTTGTTAGTCACACTTTCTTCTTATAACTGGGGTTTTAAACAGGTAGGAATCTAATTTTCACATTATCTATCCAAACACATGATATTCTGGTTATCTTTAAGATCACAAGGGTTACCAAATCTATCACAATATGGAACGGGATTTAACTTATGAAAACTAACTTTATGTTGGTAACCAAGCTGCACTACTACTTTGAAAATTACATATTACAGTATTATACACTAGGCCTAACATACTATACAGAAACTAAACACTCACCAAGATCGTCTTCGATTGCTTCAATAGCTAGCCTATGGGAAGCCTCTTTGGGGTGCAGCCAGTAATGTTTGGTCATAAGTAGGCTACTGTATAAGACTATTGAATGTGTTTAAGCCTCTATTTTGCTAATTCATTCACATACTTAATCTTTTACAGATTGCTGTGATGTCATATTTGATAAAGATTTAAACGCTATTAAAATCATGTCTCAACTGTGCGAAAAAATTCTTATCGGACAGAGTGACATAGATAAAAGATTTCTGTTGGCCTTCCAACAAGGAAGGCTGACCAAAGAAATTGTCGACAAGTGTAACTCTGAAGTTCATGATAAATGCAATGTAGACATTGCAGAGTTTCTCAAGGACAAAGTACGCTTGGGTAAAAGTTACCAGCAAATGCTCAATGAATTGCGAACCTTAAATAGCTCTTTGTGTTTGAAAATAAATTTTGGTATTTCCCCGGCTCTGATTGGAGCTCCTCGAAGATTCCGAGTATGGGAAACAAGTAAGACGTGTGAATCTTAACTCGATTGAGTTGAAATTATATGTGAAATAACTGTGTGGGTTTTAGTAGACGCTAATTCTCTTAGTGGGTTTGGTTGACTAATTTGTTTTTTGGCAACAGTTAGAACTAACATAAGATAGACAGTTAATTTAAGTGCTGAGTGTGTTTAAGGAAAATGTGTTAACTTATGATTTCTAGATACAATACTGTGCTAAACATATTCCATGTAGACTCAATTGTGTTCGGTAAAAAAAAAATAAAAACTAACCTTAGCTTAGTTACCTACTTCAAAATTCTACAAAGAATATGGTAACAAGTTGTTTTGATGCAGGATGAATTATTAAAAGTTGAGTTATAAACAAAATCACAAAATTAAACATTAACCAAATACTCGCTATAGGCTACTTCTTTTGTGACTGATATTCTTTTATAAAAATAAATCACAAAAGAACTATGTTAAAGAGTTATTCTTCGGGCTTAAATGATTATTCTTTTTGTAGGTCTGAATTTCACAACAATGATAAAAAACTAGTCTTCAAATGGAGATCTTAATTTTATATAAAAGTTTCCTGTGTTCCACTTCTTCTCTTCTGCAGTGTTTTAGTGGGGCGGGACTGGCATTACTACTTTGCTTTAAAAAAAATATATATATATATATCAATAGGCTACCGGTACCTGTTTTCTACGATAAAAACAGAAAATTTTATTACAACACTATTGCTTTTCATTATTTTTGATTTTCTCATGTATTTTAATGTTTTTTCTCATGTTTTTGCCTTATCAATAAAATATCATCCCATAAATTAATTTTTGAACATGCATTATTTTAGAGCACCTAAGGCAGGAGAGACCACCCCATTTACGGCCACATATGCTTCATCCTGCTTTGAGAGAAAAGGGGCGAGCTATTCCCCATTCCCATATCGTCCCTCGAGTCGTTGAAAAAGAACCACCGGCCGTGGTAAGTCAATAAAAATACACACATGTAGCACTTATGTAAGAACATTTTTCATTCATAGGTTTTTGGTATGTTATTACAGGAGAATCCCTTCCACAAAATATTTATTACCTGGATAATTTATTCTTTGAATATCCAACTGCTTCTGATCTCTGAGGCGTAGGCCTAATTTTTTCTCCAATTTGAGTGTTTGCCACTGAAAGTAAAAGAACGGTCCACACCCTATTCAAATTTTAATTTTAGGATTGTCTTCACCATACTGTGTGTAAAGCTAGTAATTTTTATGAACATGATGTTATTCTCTGAATTTGGGTATAACCCACTGGCTAAAAAAATGGGCCCATTTTCATATAAGTAACTAACTTTTCAAAGGTAATTGTGTAAATTGACAGAAAATTAACACATTACCACTATCATAGGCAATTAGGCATATCATTAGGCCTACATAGTTTTTATGACTATACATAAAATATGTTAAAATACACAATTTTTATTACAGCTTGAATTTATTTATATTTTTTTCGCACGTGTATAATACAGCCATAGACCATGATTGAAGTAGTCTGGGATTTGAAATAAAAATTTGATTTGCGATAAAATGCTAGGCCTACCTAGATAAGTTTTCTAGTTCAAAAGATAAAACCTTTAGAACGAGATTAAATAAAAAAATTAGTTTTATTAGGTAACATAGCCTAGTTCCTGAATTATTTATTACTATGAACAAAATGAAAAACTGAAGTGTAGAAGTGGTTTAAAGAATCAGGTAGGACTACGAGTATAATAATCAGAGAAATTAGTTCAACTAACAGCAATTTCATCCATGCAGCTTATAACTAACAGTACAGATAAAACAGGGGAAACAAACCCACATGCAGATATTTTTAGTCGCTTGAACGTAATTAACAAGCTTGGGGGGGTTCGGTCTACTAAAAATAGACCGTGATGCGCTGAGCTCTGTCAACGAAATAGTTGAAATATTTTACTGCATTTTACGATTGCTGTTTTCACAGACTAAACGCTTAACAGCTTGTTAAAGTTTTGTAACAACGCTCCATTTTACAATTTGTTCTCTTTTAGATCTGACTATTTCTGTACTATATTAGCTGACGATTTGCCAGAATCTCAACTAGATAGTTTTCAAACATGTTTGTAACATTTCAAGATTTAATAAATTTTATGTTGATTGAATTTGTTACATCAACACTTAATTTATTTTACAATAGAGCGTATAGGCCTACATGAAATTTACTAAATTGTAACTTTTTATTAAAATGAAATATATTTTTCTCTCAGTAGAAAAAAAAATAATTGTTTACAAAATTATTAGGTATAGATATCTTTTTTCATCTTCTTATAGATTATTATTATTATAGATAATAATATTATTATAATAGATAGATTATAATAATAATCTATATTATTAGGCCTATTATTATTATTATAGATATTTCATCCTACTATTGTAGTACTGCGATTTAGTATGCTGTCTTTTAACAAGTTTTATCAGTCTAAAGAAAAATACCCAACTTTAAACCATTATTATAGCCTAACATTAAAAAAATCTAAATTTATGTTTTATCATATTTGAAAATACAATAATGTCATCAAGCATAGACTACTACAATAGAACTATTATTTGAAGTAAAAGACACCGGTGAATAAAAATTATTTTATTAAAATATTCAAGTGTTAAACAATTTATATGTCCACAGTAAGTACAGCAGGGAAATGTAAGCTAGCTGAAGGGATTAAAAAAATGTAAAACCTTACAATTTTAAGTGTTTAACAAAATTATAATTCATCAATAAGTTATTTCATTGACTATTGGATACTGAAGTAGACATCGCATCTATATGGATCAGATGTCGCCAATTTATTAAAAAAGAACGTAGTTGTGTGAGTCAGTCAAAGAATGCGCTAGTGTCTACAATTATATTTTTTTATTAATTTTTTTTGCTGACGAGGTTGATGGGTCATAACAGTTGCTATAGCTCACCATAAGTCATTCCCTAAGTTTGACTTGACAAAAAAGTGTGTGCATTCAACAGTTAGTAATTTAGATCAGCGCAATCTGTTGGTGGCTCACATCAACTTTGACGATGTTGATAAAAATCTTGCTACAAATTTAACATGGGGATGGAATGTCTAGTTGTATTGATAGTTAAAGGTTATACGAGTATATTAAAATTTTTATCAAAAAAGTGAAACCCCCATCTTGTTTTATGATCAAGTTCTTTGTGATTTTTTAAAAACTTCATATGTTAAAAACTTCATGTTTGCTGCTATTTCTTGGAGGTGCAGACGAGAAAACAGGTATTCTATGTTTGGTGTGTTACTCAATGCTCATGGTTGTCGTAACGTGTAAAAGTTATCATGTCCCGCAAAGACTCGTAAATAATGTTACTTTGAAAGTAAAATGTGTGTGCTTTTGAATGTTGAGCCACTTTAAATCTGTTGTATCAGCAATTTTGTCTATAAATTTCCCTCATAATTAGTGTCGACACTTAATATCTTGTTGATAAGAATTTCATAGGTTTGGTGATGTGATCTATTTATAATTTAAGATGTCTTTGAATACTGTTTGATAAATTTACACTTATAGTAAGAAAATATCAAAGTTTTTACATTATCAACTAATTTAACCATTTATCCAGCCTATTAGGCTGTTTCAATCGTAACTTAACCATGAGTCTCCGATTTGGACTGATGGTGACAGATATGGTCAAAAAGCCAACATATCAACTTCAGTACATTATTTCCCATCTTATAAATTATTAGAGTTATCACTCTCTCATTTCGACACCTCAATACCAAACCATTTACCGGTACTGAGCTAACCAAATCTGAGCCATCAGAAATTAGTAAAATTACAAATGAATTATTTATATAAGAAAGACTGTCCAAAATGAGCTAATCCAGAAACGTTTTGTGTCTAGTCTATAAGTGTGAATTTATCAAGTTGTGTTGGAAAGAAGATGTTTTTTCTCTCTATTAGTGTTTTTCGTAGTGCTTTTACTGTTGATTATTCATATTTTTAATATGGTCTGATAATTTATCGAATGTATATAGTATTTCAAACCAATTTACTTTGTTTGCTAGTTTTATTTGAGTATTTGGTATACATTTAAATACTTTGAATCTTTAACTCTTTCACCCTTTGGGTACCTAGAAATGTTCTTGTTAAAATGCTTTTTGAATATGATTCTTGAAATTCAATAAAAACTCACTTTAATATTACTAAGGCTGTGTAGATAAATAGTCATACGTTTACAATTAATGTATAAAAATGATAAAAGATTTATTACTAAGCGCAGTAAAATTTAGGTTAAAAAAATAAATCACTTTTTTAACACCAGTATGAGTCAGCAATTGTTTTTTTAGTAGGCTACTGAAAAGTTTTGACGATACTGTGTTTTATAAAAAAAGGTTTGACATTCTACCAATACCAATTGCCATAAAATTTTATTTTTCTATCAGGTTAGGTTAGGTTAGATTAGGTTTATCACACAACTGATGTATGTTCACAGCCGATGCCCATGCCTGGGATGAGGCCTCCGATGGGAGGTCCCGGACATGTGGTGCCTGCGCCCAAGACAGGAGGAACTATGGGTATCATCATGCCTCTCTATACCATCGGCATTGTCATATTCTTCATGTACACTATGATGAAGGTAGGTTTAGATTAAGTGAAGCCTACAGTATTAAAAATTTGATAGCTACGTTTGTCAGGGTGATGACTAATGGCGAAAAGAACGACATAAGCACTGATGCACATTTTGTTATCGATAGTTAGTTATTGCAATGGGGGAGGAATCGATATGTACATAGTTTGAAACAAGTTTTGTATTTAGGAGTGATTAATTAAGTTAAATATTTAAATTTTTTCGAATATTTCTTGATTTTGATTAATCGATATCGACTTACGGTACACCTGGAAAAAGTACAGTCTGGAAAACCTGGAAAAGTCAGGGAATTTTACTTCCTACATTTTTTCTTCTTCACCAGTCTGAACAGAAGTACAAAACAATTGCTAATGGAGCTCGTAAATAAATGTATCAAGTTTCTGTGCCTCTAAAGTCATCAACAAAACTATAATGCCTTAAAACTTTACTCTGGAGTGTTATCTAAGGTGCATACACTACAATTCAGTAAAGCCAGAACAATTCACGACCTTTCATTAAGTTTGATCTTCTGGCGAGGACAGTCCTTGTGAGAATATTAGCCAAACCTGGAGTGCCTTATGATTGTATGAAGTGATCCTCAGACATTAACGGCGCTTATAAAGATATTCATCTAATTCCTGTGGTCATTCCACGATTTTTCAAACGTTTGGCTGATCTCGATTGTCAGACAAGAGAGGCTTAAGAGTTTTAGTTACTAAACGTTATCTTGTTGAAAGTTTTTTGCATATCAAATTTTCAGTTTGCTTTGCCATAAAGAGTGCCGAGTTCCCTCAACTATTGTCTAATTGTTGTAGCTGATCTTCAAGAAGTCAGATGAAAGCAGTGCATACAAAGAGTTCGAGCCGGACCCAGAGTTCCGCAGGGTTGTGTTTAACGATACTCCTCCGTCAGCTGTCTACCAAGCTAAACTTGCTCAAGGTCACGCAGACGACAACAATACCAAGCTCGGTAAATGGCTTATGTACTTTGGTATACTGTTGGGACTATTAATTAAACTAGACATCCCATTCTCAAAAATTAACCTACATATCAATAGAATCCACCATAAACACCTGTGCAAAACCATCATGTTAAAGTAGTGTCCATAACCATAAACCAGTTTTAGAATGAAAACGAAGTTGAATTTAAGCACTCACAGACTGTGTTGATATCAATTCATAATTTCCGTTGAATACGCCACCTTTTCAAACAAATCCAAACTATGAGACATATACTATCGTGAAATAGAAAATATGATTTTTACAGCACATTCTATGATTGGGTCAATCAGTTTTGTTGTATTTAAACAAAAGATTGGCTACTTACCGTTTGCGGTCGAATGGCGAGTATAGGTCGCTGGGTGCCATTTTCCTGACTGCTTGAATGGCAAGCTAAATTTGCCGGAAAATGTGGAAAAAATTTGACCTCAAAGGGTAACTGCTGATTCTTGTTGATGGGATGTCTATTTCAGTTTTCTAAAATCAATTATTGTACTTAATAAATCACTAAACATCAGGTCTATTGGTTACAGCTTCAGAAAAGACCTTGGTTATGACTTGTAGTGTGTTCATCTGTCTAAGGGACCTGGGTTTGAATTTCTACCCTATGATATATATTTTCTATAGGTAATGTTGGGATGGTGTGTAGTAAATATGTAACAGTTTGCCCACATATATGCCTACTATGAAAGAGGAGGTTGCCTAGACAAAAATAAGTATCAAAAAAGATATCTTAATTCAATTGGCATCGAATAAAATATGAATTACTATTTGTGAGGTTCCCTTCTATTAAAGACTATTCGATAATTTATTGACAGAGATTATACATTGTTGGAGGAAGTTTCTAAACCATGCAATTTTATTGACGTAGAGTTGATTTCCGTACATTACATTAGTTTTAGACGCGTAATGAAATTGTAATAAAATGTTCTATAGAGTAATAATAGCTTAGTATAGTTTATTTGGATGGAAATAAAATCCTTGTACTTTAAACCCTTTCAAAAATTATAACCAATCAATAAACAATATTATTGTTATTGTTTCAAATAGGCTATAGAATAACTTATATGAAAAGGAGTTGAAGTTTTATTTGGCAAAACTAGACTTATTTTTGTACAAAACCCTGTAACTGAACCCCTGTAAACAAAAAATTAGTTTCACCAAAGATAACATATGCTACGCAAAATAGATATTGCACCTTACGGCAATTTTGTGCCAAGTCGTTTTTGGATGGGGCCACACCTTCACGTAGTTGGGTGGTCCCTCAACAGAGGCGCTGTGTCAAGTCTCGATCTGCATTACCATTCAAGTTCGGGTGAGTTCGGTAATGCTCGCGTGCTCGGGATTAACTTGCCTGTATGCAACGCACTCGCCGACCCGTCGTCATCGTATCTCTAGTTTGAAAGCGCACAGCTGTCATTAATGTACCATAACTTTATCTTTTTACAAAAATGGCAGTTATTTACTTCAAAATTAAAGTGACCACATAACAAAGAGCTAAAGGATACTAAAGGTTTACTGATATAAACACGAATTAATAAAAATCTTCAAAATTTGCAGTCACAGTGATATAATAAGCTTACAATGTTATACTAGTTTCTCTGCATTGAATTTTAACGTACATTTAGAGAACCCTTAACAATTTAGAAATTTATAATTCTTACAAGTTTTAATAATTAGTGACTGTTTGTAAGTTCGTTGACTTTTCTCACTTTTCTGTTTTCGGAATTTTTATACACAAAGTTTGCTCCCGGATTTCTAGACTCACGCAATATCTTGCTACTAACTCACGATGAGTAATGTATGGTTAGTCAACTACTACCTAACCATTCACTGGCTACTTGACCTTTTTAAACATAGTTTGTAGGAAGAACATTTATCTACACAGATCGGCATTTGTTTTCAAACTCCGTATTATCTCGTCACATTATTGGTGTTTTGTAAGTGCCGTTTGCAACTGAGCTTTGAAGAAAATGTAGAGCATAAGATATAAAATATAGATTTTAGATTTGGATTGTTTTATACAGGGTGGCTGAAAAGTAACTTGCACCCCCCTTAACTTTTCAACTATTTAAGATATTTGAAATCTGTTTGTGGCAACCTTCTTAGCTATAAGGGGCTACAATAATTATGGTCAATTTTGAAAATTTTGCCCTTAGGGGTAGTGGTGGTAGGGGGTAGCTCAAAATTTTCAAATGACAAGTATAGTCGAGTTTGGTATCATTTTACAGGTCTTGACAAAACTTACAAATTGACATAAAGAAAACTAAAATCGGCCCACTAATAACAAAATGGCGCCCTAAAACGTGTCAAATCCAAATAACCATGAGGATGGCTAAAAATTAACATGCACCCCCTTTAACTTTTTAACTATTTGAGATACTTGAAATCGGTTTGCGGCAACTTGTTTGGATATGAAGGGCTACAATAATTATGGTCACTTTTGAAAATTTTGCCCTTAGGGGTAGCAGGGGTAGGGGGTAGCTCAAAATTTTCAAACGACAATGATAGTCAAGTTTGGTATCATTTTACAGGTCTTGACGAAACATGACAATTGATATAAAGAAAATAGAAATTGGACCACTAAAAACAAAATGGCAGTTCAAAATTACTTTTAATAACCATTGTCTTAATCATTTTTAGCTGCCATTTTGTTATTATTGGTCCGATTTCTATTTTCTTTATGTTAATTGTTATGTTTCGTCAAGACCTGTAAAATGATACCAAACTCAACTATACTTGCTATTTAAAAGTTTTGAGCTACCCCCTACCCCCACTACCCCTAAGGGCAAAATTTTCGAAACTGACCATAATTATTGTAGTTCTTTATATCCGATCAAGTTGCCGCAAACCGATTTCAAATATCTCAAATAGTTAAAAAGTTAAAGGGGGTGCAAGTTAATTTTCAGCCACCCTCATGGTTATTTGGATTTGACACGTTTTAGGGCGCCATTTTGTTATTAGTGGGCCGATTTTGGTTTCCTTTATGTCAATTTGTATGTTTTGTCAAGACCTGTAAAATGATACCAAACTCGACTATACTTGTCATTTAAAAACTTTGAGCTACCCCCTACCCCCACTACCCCTAATGGCAAAATTTTCAAAATTGACCATAATTATTGCAGCCCCTTGCAGTTAAGAAGGTTGCCACAAACAGATTTCAAATATCTCAAATGGTTGAAAAGTTAAGGGGGGTGCAAGTTACTTTTCAGCCACCCTGTATAACAAATCTTTCAACTGACGACTATATAAAATAAATTTAAGAACACATAGTCTTATCTTTACCACGTAAAAACTATATTTAGGTTGGAAATTGGAGGTCAGTCACACTCTCGCAATCACACGAAAGTGAACCGACCCGATATCTCAATTTTGTAAGGCCTGTTTTAAATATTATATTAAACAATAGGTCGAATACTTTGTACCGGAAGCCTGTAACTACATTTTACAACAGGAATTTTGTTCGCCTTCCCAGTATAGCTATTCATGGAAAGTTCTTGAATCAACATTAAGGCATTGTATATGGCGTAGCCAGGTTTGGATTGGAGCGCCCTGGAGCAGAAATTGCCTAACCACCCCTCTCCAAAATTGAACCCCATAAATATATAGCCTAGAATACTTTATTTCCCTCTAGTGGTCTTCGTTGATAAACACTTAAACCACAACGTTCAACGTACGTCTATTTTCAATTGACAATAAATTACAAATTATTGCATAATAGTATGATGAAGGTAGTTAATAATACATTTCGGAACTCTATCATAACTGTTTTAGGCAGACTCTAAAGATAATGAGACATTGACAGTAAAAATACTGGTGAATTTATCGCTATGTGATGAAGGGGCTGCCGCGAGACAGTGGAGATCGTCTGTAGAGGTAGTAATGAGTGCAGACTGCTGAGTGACAATTGGTGTACATTCATAGTTTGTTAGTACATAACTAGTCATGTTGGTACAGCTTCCTTTTTACTTCTCATATTATTTATAAAGCAGTTAGGTTCAAAATGCAGTTCACACACTATAAACGTGAATGTAAAGCAGTGTCGGGAAGGCCTTTCCGTTTTTTGATTGCCGTGTTTGCCATTTATCACATACACTCGTCTTAATACCTGGTATTGTTCATGAAAATATCCACATTATAATACAATTGTAATTCACTACACATAATACTAACACTTCTTCACTCTTGCTAATCCATCTTCTAATAAACCTCGTGTTACTTACATTAAGCAAACAACCACAAAATAAAGGTTAACCATAACAATAAACAATAACAAAAAATACGCAAATAACAGCCGGTCATGTCGGCAATGTAGTCTTAGGTTGTGAAGACATTCGCTAGGCTTCGCATGGAAATTGATATCACAAAAATGGCTTGGCTGCAATATCTATTTTGCGTAGCATATGTAATCTTTGGTTTCACCAAAATGGTTTACCCTAAATAACAACCTAAGTCGTAGTTGTTTGACGTTGGTATCATTGATGCTTGTAGGTATGTGTTGTCATTAGACTATTTACATATCATGTCTTCATTGAATTGTAAATATTGTAACTGTTATTGCATGCTTCACAAAGGTTGGAAGGAGAGAGATGCGAGTAAGTATAAATTAATTCGTAAAAATTATATTTTTAGTATCAAGTATTATGAGGGTAAAAATCATGAATCTCAAAGAAAATTTTTTCCTAGCCTAACATAAGGTGCAATTGCAAACTTTGTTCAAAGTTGATGAATGTCTTAAATTTTGCGTGTGAATATCTTTTATCTAAAATTTTCTGATTCAATTCAATTTTCTTAAAACTTGTTAATGTTGTGATTCTAAAGGAGAAAATATAAATTAACTCACTCTATGATCGCTTAACTATTTTCTATTGGGATTAAAATTTGGATTCAGCTAAAAGTGAAAAAATTTGTGGTCTTGATTGTATTTTTCACTTCATAGTCTACATAACCTGCAATCCCGATATGATTTTGACAGTTGCGGGCAACGTGTTTCCATACCAAAGTGAGGTTAACCCAAATTTTAAAAACCATGGTTTTTATCCCTAACTTTGTTTTCATTTTCGTCTCATATGTGATTTGTGTGATTAATTTCAATATATTCAACTACTAACATGTACATAATAACATAATATATCAAAAACCAACAATAAATCATTGAAAGAAAAACAAACCAATTACCAGTACTCATTCAGTGTTTTAGGTTAAAACTGTGTTGGGCACCGCAAGAGTAGAAGTTAAAGAGATTTTTTATGGTTTAGCGAGCTTCCCTGAAGGCGAAAGAGTTCATTCTGATCCAAGAAATTAAGACTAAACATTTCTCAATAATCAAACTTTCCTTCGCTAAATACTGAGTCAGTGAGATTTAAACATGCTAATTTTCTGTATTTAAATTTTGTGTGTTTCTTGCACCACGATGCACAGTTTCCCATTTAAGTAAGCTTGTTATCCTGACAAAAATCATTAAATACTATTTAACAAATAAAAGTTGAAGGTAAAATAAAGGTTGGTGTTAACCAAATTTTTATATTAGGGAAAGATGTTACTATATAATTCTGAATGGAAAACATGGTATTTTCTTGTGAGAAATTTCACTCTGGCAAGTTGGTAACAATGAGAGGTGTGCAGGGGACATAGAATTGGATCAGCTGAGAAGGAGGTTGGAAGAAACAGAGGCAGCAATGGAACGCATTGTTGCCCAGATGGTCAAAGTCCCCCACAAACCTAGTCAGGTCAGGCCCTTTCCCTCAGCCTTGGCGGGAATAGAGATTGTTCATGAAGCTGTTAAGTCTCAGCTTTTGAATTTTTGTATATTGCCATTGATTAAAAAAAATAGATAATTTGATAAATCACTGATAGTATGGGGTTATTCAAGGTTTAAGTCAGAAACATATTTAACAAAACCATCAGTGATGTTTACTCAAGAATAATTCAATTAAAATGCATTCCGTCCTTTTCGGAACTGATCACATTTTCATATTACTACAGTGTGTTAGTGGTGAAAGTGAGAGTGAGGGGTGTTCGTTGGGTGCTGTTGGATTTTAAAAGAATTACTTCGGCTCAGACACACAAACATCTCTTTCGGCGCTGTAGGAATTTAAAATCCTACAATGCCGAACATGATATTTGGCAAATTGGACTAAAACCATGATTTGGTGCTATGGCACCTTCTTGTTAGGGTTTAGCCTATTCCCCTTTGAATGTTAAAAACCCGACATTGGCGTAGAACACAAGTTAGGTAAAGTATTTTATTTTATGAGCTCGAGGAAAAGTAAGTGATGACCTAAATTGGTTTTGTGAACAATCTCTTTCCCACAAAAATACCCTTCCTGACTGACATTATGTGACATGGAAGCAATTTTCCTTTACGAGACTGGCTGTATCTGGAATTGTGTGTGTTTATACTCCCTGTTAAATTTATATTTTAGTCGCTTTCAAGCAAGCCAAATTAGTAAGGTATTTTTGTTGGTTTTCCAATAGAATACTTCAGTTTGAAGACAAATGTGTTTTTTACTCTTGTATGTTTTTATTTTTATTGATTGTATGTGCTTATGGTTATTTTAAAATTGATTTTCACCTGCCTCTTCCTGTGTCAGTTTGATGGCCATGAATTCTGTTTCCTCTGATTTCTCTAAGGCAAAATTACTAAGTTACTCTGTGTATAGTTATTATAAGTAAACAAACATAATTATTCTCAATGCCATAGTTTTGTAAAACAAATTACCTAATTACTTGAAAAACTTCTTAATCATCTCAATTGAACGAAATGGTACACATACAATAATGGTAAACTTGACGTGAATTCGAACATTAAATAAGTTTGATTTTTTCCAAATCAATCACTTAGTCAACTCAAATCCAAATGTTAAAATGAGTAAGTACTGCACAGGCATTGTAAGTTCTATTACCACAAGGCAAGTTTTGAAGTATCAGTGTTCCATTTTCAAATCTTATAAGATCGTCTCATAAGAAATTGAGTCACTATCCTACTTTCTGTGTATTTTGTTGATGTCTGGACTTGATACTGTTCGGCCGGCCCCATATTTTCAAATATTTAAATTTTCCCTGTGACAATAGGTGTTTTTGACAATCCAGTGAGATTTGAAAATGAATAGTTATGCTCTGAAACTGTTAATCTAAATAGTACATTAACAAAGGCAAAAGGTACCTAGCCTGTCTTTATAGTTATAAGAAGCGTGGTTCAATGAATAAACTTGAATTCATTGGAAGGTCACAGACCGAGGCCAAATTTTTATAGTTGGAATGCAACCTAGTGATGGTATGTTTTGTACGACAGTTGTGTCGGCTATCTCAGGCCTGGTAGCGGAAGTGAATCGGGACATTCTGTCCAAACAAGGGACAACGGAAGAAACAGAGGTACGGCTAGCATCACCTGACAGTGAACATCACCTAACTTCAACTCTTATGCGCTTTTTTGAAAGAAATTTTGTCCTGGGTAAACAAATTTTATCTTGTTGGAACAAAACTACTTTACAGTACCAAAATTTCAAACAACAATCAATTAACAATCAATTGCCAGTATTGAAGAATTAATAAACATTCTTCGCAGAATTTTGTGTTCTTCAAACTATCTACAGGTGCATTTTTCTATAGCATGGTTCATTTAGGAGTTGTAAGCCGAAAACCGATCAAATAATCAACTTTTTTGCCGTGTTGATGAAAATATCCCAACTTTGAAAAGTTGTAGCGGCTAAACGGCTCAGCCGATTTCAACATATTTTACACCAATCGACGCAGAAGTTTATGCACTAAAAGACGCCTTTGAACAACATTTTCTGTAGGATTCGCCATTTAGGCGAAAAACATAAGCGAAAAACTGAAAAAAGTGCAAAATTTTCATAGTTTTTCGACTCCCAAAACTGAAGCAGAAGTCAGAATCCGTCGCACACTCACAGGACTCTTATTTGGGACCCCCAAAAGGTATTAAAACACTTTCCAGCTTTAGACGATTTTTCGGGGAGCATTACCTTTTTTTAATCTAATTTGCCTGGACTATCAGTAATACTGTACATCATTTGAGATATGAACGCGAGGTGCAAAAAATCTACATCACAAACTTCCAAATAAACCAACTTCTTATATGTATGTAAAAACCATTTTTTTACTTAGGACGGAATTCAGGTGATGTTAGCTTTTTTATGTTGTCTATATTTATTTTTGCACCTAAACATTTTTGATCTTGATGATTTAACCGTAGCGCTTACTTTAAAACATCAATCTAACTGCCAATTGTAGCTTAAATAACATAAAACGTAATTGTCATTAAATTAACGTTCATTTCTTCATTAGTTTTGTAAATACTTTTTGTAGCTCTTCAGTTTCGTTTTGTATTTTGCTTATTATTTATTTGCTGTGCTCAATGTGATGTCCGATTTTTTTTTATGTGTGTAAATATTACTATAATCAAAAATATAAAATATTTCTAAGAGTTTATCGTCTAAACAACATGGTAAACATTCATAACAACAGTATCTGTTTTGTTTTCCTTCTTGCTGTAATATATTCTAAAATATACAAAACATTTCTCTATATAATTTTTTTATTAGACGTATTGTGTTAAAATCCAATAGTTTAGTCTACAATTGTGGCACTAGGTACTAATGCACTGAATTTTACTGAAACTTTGTTAACACTTATTTTTTTACAAGGTAGTTTTTAAAGTATATAAAATTTACATTCAATTAGAATTTTAATTCTCATAAATAATAGTTATAGTTTTGGGGGTTTAGGTAAAAGATTCAATTTAGCCTTTGGCCTAGATGGTATGATTTCCTGAGGAGCTTTAATAACTAAAATTACCGTAATAGATTTAATTTTGTTTCTAAACCTCAATTATATCTCTGTAATTGAGTTTAGGCTCCAAGTCTAACATGCATTATGACTATTTTCAAAAACTTGTAAGTTTATGTACCGAATATGTGAAAAATTAAAACTCTCAGACATAAACTATCAAATTTCTTGCTGCGCTTTGATAAAATAATTATAATTATGTCCAATAAAGTATTTTTTTTTAAATATCATCGTTTGTTGACCTAAGCTTGCATGGCCGATTGTATTCAGCGATGTACAAAGTACTGACTTCGGCTCGTTCAACTACAGGCTTGAGATTGCCGGCACTTCTGTTCACAAATGTGTTTAGTTGTGTGTTTATTGTGCATGTAAACAATGTGTTTTGTTTAAATGTAGCAACTTGAAATTTTTCATTATGATTTTGTGATTGTTTGTTTTAAGTTTTTAGTGTTTTTCCAAATTATTTACCACTTCTATGTACTAGTTGTTAGTTGTTTTTGAGTGAAGCTTGTTTCAAAAGGTAGTATTAGCATGGACAAGTTGTTTTAAGTTTTCTTTTTGTGATTTAGTCTTAAGTTATCTGTTATTTATTCAATGTACACTTTTTTACTGCTCTGGTGATGTACTGAGAAGTGATATTAATACCTGTCTGTGTGTAAAGCAGATTAATTTAATATAACTCATCAATGTCTATATCATTACTAAGAGATTTGTATTTATGCAAACAGTTTTGTTGTTTTAACAATTTGCAATATTTGTTATACAACTTTTAACTATAACTATTTATTAAACTTTGTATTAAACTAGCATAATAGTTTACTCATTATAAGAAAATTACTTGTTGGCAAACATTTGTCCTGTTTGTTAATTTCATTTACTTATATTTACCACAGTTTGAAATAATTAATTCCAACAACATGGGTAAAACTTTAAATATTTGAGATATGCTCAAAACTGCATAAATTGGCATATTATTGGACATAAATTGTGAATCAAACAATAATTTATAAATCTAATATTAAATTAAAAGAAAAAGAGTTTGTAAATTTAGTTTACCATTAATAACTAAACCCCTCCAAAGAAACATTTCAGTACCGGTACTTTACTCTGAGAAAGTCATTATTTTGCAACCATTCTCACATTCATTTTCCTATTTTCCAGGAGGTTGAAGAAAAACTCGTCACAAAAGAGGAAGCAGCCAAAGTGCTCGAGTCGAAACCGGAAAAGGTAGAAGAAATAGATTTAGAGGAAAAATCAAAGGATGTAGAAGTAGAAGAAAAATTAGAGAAAGAAATAGAACGTGGGGTTCAAGTGGTGGGGATGGAAATGACGGAGAGTTTGGAAGGGGGACAGAAATGGAGTCGTCCTCCTACTCCGCTAACCCCCCGTAGCGCCACACCCACCATACCCCCTCCCCCTCCACCACCGCCTCAGAGTATTTATTTGGAAGGCTCTCTTCCGTCCCAGAGTCAGCTGTTAGTTAGCCAATCAGAGATTGAACAATTGTCCCAGGAAAACGACGAATCCCCGGTCATTTTGGCGGGGAAAGTTACTTTGTCACTCATCGGGCTGGACGACGTAAGAACGTGTGTCCGAGTTACACTAACACAAATAACTAACACTAATGACTAACACAAATATTATTTGTCTAACTTGCCTATGCTTGTCTTTGGAAACCTAGGATTTAGATTTGACCAAGTTGTGTTTAACCCTAAATTGTTTTATGATTATTTAACTTCCTATAGGATGGGTTTTTAACATGTTTTCATGTTAACATTACTTAGCATTGATATTGAAGCTGACAGTATTACGTGTTTTAATTAAATAAGACAAATCTAAAAGTTTTTAAAATTTGGTTTAACGATTGTAATTATGCCTTTAGGTGTAGTTTCTCAATAATAATGTTTCCCTACAACTATCAATTACCCTTAAAGTGCTGTTGTGTGCCAAAAGAAGTATAAAGTAGGTTTTATAGTAATATTTTCCGTTTTATAATCAATGAAATGAAGTGATCCTTCTTTATTGAGGTGAACTTAGGACCACATGGTCCTTTCTTACAGTTAACCTCTCAGTGGTAATAAGTCATGTTCCTGCTTCCATTATTGTATCAAGAGTCTACTGTTGGACAAATTTCTAACTGCGAGTGCTGCCGCTGGTATTCCTAAACCTTGGATAAATTTATTTTTCATTTAGCCTTTTTTATGAAAAATGGTTAAACTCCCGCAGTATCCAATCCTTTAGACATTTAAGGCAGGAATGGTCTTCAACTATTCGTGTACTTTTTGCCACAATTTCTTTTAAGCACCATTTTATCAAACTATTTGCAGCTGTTGGTGCTAGACTAAACTACATTGAGCTAATTTAAAATAATTAAACCAGAAGTGAACTTACAAAGCAGTTTTTAAATTCACTTTGGAGTTGATTGTTAACTTCCTCCCAGGAATCTAGACCTGACTGTATTTGATGTTACAGACATTGAAGGCAGACAACGGAGGTCCTGAAGTCACGTTTATGTCAGACGAAGAAGAAGAAGAAGAGGATGAAGGCATTGAACAAGGTAGGAATTCAGCTGTAGGAGAATCTATTGTAATATTCGTTACCATAGTTGTGTGTGGCAACGTCATGCCTATTGCCACGGTAATACTAGGAATAAAAGTGTAAACATGAATTTCCTTTACTATCCTTAATAAATTTAGTGCAACAGCTGTTTCGATTGGACAGTACAGCAATGTTGCCACTTTTTTCTCGCCACGGCCTTGTATTAGAGGAGGCTATGTGTATTGACTCCTGCCAGTAGGCAGCACATTATTTTATATTTTAACTCTGTACAGCTATGCTTTCTTTTATTGTTTTTTTATTATTCTTTTATCCTCAGAATTCGGAAATGCATGTTACTGCTTCCACTTTACCAATACCTTTATCCTATTGGCCAGAGCTTACTAACATTTCAGTGAGCGTACATTGTATCTGAACCATGCCGTTTATTTTTAGCACAATAAGGATTATTTTACATTATTTTTGGGGAAAAACAATATTAATTGATACAGGGTGTTTTTTTTAACCCAACCCAAGTTACAAGTACTGCAAGACACGTTTTAATGACATAACAGGCGGATGTGTTGGTATCCCTGTGTTCTTTACTGCATTGCCAATCAGCTGATATGCATTGTTGGAAAGTTAACTAAGAAATTTAGTGTCATTGGGAATTCATTGTGAATAAGACTTAACATGGTGTTTTCCCAATGCTCAAAGAGTATTTATTGCACATTACCCCTTTTGAGTGCCACGCAACGATATATCGTTTTGCACAACACATCTGAAAAATACTTCACAACGATATATCGTCGTCGGTAGTCTTACCGAAAAATACATTGCAACGATATATCGGGCCGGCGCGACTTTCGATCATGTGATTTAATGGGCATATCGGTTGACTCGGTTGTTATTATAAAACAACAATGATTTCAATTAATTTCTCAAATGATCGAGGGACGATATATCGTTCCATGGCACTTTTGGGATGAAAATTTACACTTTTACCGATTTTTATTTTTGAGCACTACGCTTCGCCCCCACGGAAAGCCTGGCACTTTTCAGACATACCTAGTAAAAAAACTCTGGCACTTTTCGGAAAGTACCAAAATAAATTTCTGGCACCCAAAGGGTTAAAAGTAAATTCATATTTTAATGCCAAGATAGGTTTGAAATCAGGTTTCCATGTATGATTACAATGGCTAAAAAATCAACCATTCAATGATTTATTGTCAAATATACTGTATCAAGAAATCGGATCTGTAGAAAATCCATAAACGTAGACATACAATACAATATTCTATCAGGGTATTGTTGAAGAATACATTAAAAGTAAATATTTGTTTTTATGCCAAAAAAGGTTTGAAATCAAGTTTCCAGGTATGATTTCAATACTTAATAAATCAATTTTTCTACGATTTAAATAAACAGACCAACAATGGGGTACATACTTTATATGAGCTTGCGAAAACCTCATGTTGAGTCTTATTAACAATAGATTCCCAATAACACTAATTCTCATAGATAACTATGCAACAATACATATTATCTGATTGGCAATGAAGTATAGAACACAGGGATACCAACACTTGCCCTTGTTTTGTTATCAAAATGTGTCTTACAGTACTTGTAACTTGGGTTGCGTTTAACACATTTGCTGCTGAAACCTTTAAACAGGCGCTCGCCAATGGCGGCGAGGCTCGGGCGGAGCCCCGACGCGCTAACTGAATCAGCGATCGCTATTGGTATTGAAATATCTCAGTAAGACGAATCACAAAAGAGCAGTGGTGATTGTTCTGCGTTACTCCGAAAGTGGACGTAGTTCACTGAAACACCCAAAGGTAGCAGCACTGCCTGGATCAATAACCAGAGTCTTTATAATACGGCTCGAACTGAGAAAATCCCCGAAAACGGGACAAAAGCATTGCCAGACGGGATTTTACGGGCAATTTTTGTACCAACCTACACCAGAATAAAGCTCGCATTATAAGCTACAGGCTGGTAAAGATTACAACGTTCCCCGACAATGGCTGAGCTCACATTGAAACAATAAACACGACATGGCGCGCTCCCCCACCCGTGGACCCCCCGCTCCTCAGCTGAGACGCGCGGGGTCCACCGGTGGACCCGCCGCATCGAATGTATTAAAAACACATCCTGTAACAGTCAATATTGTTTTTTTTTTTATGTATGGGAGGTAGAAAGAAAAGCTTATGTTAATGACTTTTCCTTTGGCAAGGTTCAACTTTAACAGCAACACTTTCTAGACAATTAACATAGGAGAATCAATTTTGTATTCTCATTGAGACATTGTTTTAGTAGAAGTTGTCAGTGTGGTATCCTTCAGGAAGTTTTGGAATTTAAAATTACACAACTCTTATTTAGGCTTTTTACTGTGGGTTTAGCGTTAACAGTTTCTTACTCTTAAATACTTACTTACCCAAGTATCAGACTTACTCTCCATATTATTTTTAGCCTCTGAAGATGAAGCAGAAGCTGATAATCTTGGTTTTAATGTGGAAGAAGATTTGACTACAAACTACACAACAGGTACAGTTTCATATCTCTGAATTCTCTAAACTTATTTTTGCCACAAAGAAACTTTTAATCATCCTCATTTGTTCAAATTGAAGAAACTTTTCACAAGCCTTTTAGGGAACTTGCATAAGGTACACATTCAGTATAATGAGGATAAAGACTTTTTTACAACACCTCAATATATCTGGAATTTTTATAATTAACAGTAAGATTGTTAAATCATTACTGTTTTAAAGTTAGGTGTCTTTCTTGTTGTTCTCGTACAATCTACTAGAAAATTTGAGATGAAATTTCACACAAACAATAATTAATCCATCGAAATGTTATAGGTATAATGCCATTTTGGAAGTAAATATTGATTTTGCCAACAGAAAGCATAACCGGTTGTTACACTTTTCTATTTGTAGAGGCATGGATTGGCATGTGACTGTGTTTTGATATTTTGACATAAATGCTTTGATTGCAGCGAGTGCCGCAGCAGGTCTAGGGGATGAAACAGCGGCAGACATATCGACTATGGAACCTCACCATGACGTAAGTAATAAGAAAAATTCAATGTACTTACAGTAAATAAACAAATACGAGGCTTGTCAGTATCAGGGTGTCCAACCGACCTGAAAATTGGGAATCTACGTAAATTTTGTATAGTTTTTTGCCAAAAAATTTCCGATTTTTCTTGTTTTGGGTGATTGAAAATTGTGAATCATGGACAATGCCCCCATCATAATAAATTATCACGGACTTTACTGCGGTTGCAGGAAATGATCACGGCTGAAGCTACAATCCCAGGAAATCATCATGAATTTTGCAAAAATTGCAAGGTAAACGATTGGTGAGACTGAAGATATGATCGTGATCACGAAGTTGGTGTTGGATGATCACGGGTGTTGGTTAAAAATAACCGCTAGAGATGATTGCGGATGTTGCCATGATGTCCTGAAATCAATAAGTGTCTTCAAGATCACGGTTAAAAATTATAGTATGAAATCGTGATAAATCAAAGATGTGACTCAATGGCTGGAAAATTAAACCAAATTTTGCCGCGGTCGCAAGAAATCACGTGTGTTGCAATGATTGTGAGAATTTATCACAAATTTCGCCTTGATTCTTTGACATCACCTATGTGTCTGCGATCGCGAGAAGTTATCAAAGAATTCGCCTATCGTGTGAGATTCTTATAACGTTTCTGTAATTCTGATGTTCCCACGATTGCAAGTCACAGTATTACAGTATCACAATCAGAGTATTGCTGCGATCGCCAAAAATCCTCACACATTTTGCGGCGATTGCAAGGTATGATTATGGTAATTCGACATTGCAAGAAATCATTATGGGTATTGCAGTGATCGCCGCATATAATCACACTTATTGTTGCAATCATGAGAAATAAGATTGTCAAAGATGATTACTTTGGCCTGGTGATAGAGAAGATATGACGTTGTTGAACTAAAGAGAAGAGCAACAGTGAAACAATAACTCATCCTTTACTCGTATTTGGGTTCAAATACACACCTAGGTGGCACCACCTTATCAATTCATAGGCCTACTAGTAAAAAAAAATAATGCATTCCCCTTAAATTTAGTTATGTGTGTATATATAAAAATCGAATCTCGCTGTGTAAGTAGATTCATCTATTAATAATTAATTCTATGATTTTAAAGTAGATGTCTCAAATAGTGTCTTACTATATTTGATTCAGGATGACGAAGAGTATGAAGAAGAACTTGAAGAAGATGAAGACGAAATCATAAGCAAACCTCAGGTTTTGATGGCAACAAAGAAAGATAATTCGAGGCAAGTAGTTGCTGAAGAAGAAGAGGAAGAGGAGGAAGAAGAAGAAGAGGAGGAGGAGGAGGAAGAATTAGAAGAAGAAGTTGGAAGGCCTCAAAGCTTACTTCATCAGCACCGACGTTGAGTTCCCATCACAAATCCCTTTCATTCATCCATCATACATATTCAATATTGTTGACATTTAGCATAGGGAAAATTGTTAAGAATCTAAATGAAACTTGTGAGATTTGTACACTTAGCCTTTTATTGTTACTCTATTGGCACGTTAATTAGCATAAAGATGTTGGCTTTCTTTATTTTGCTTTTGCATTGTAAATATTACTTTGTCAGTAATATTTTATTCTAATTTTTCTTGTCTTCCTTTAAAAGCCTTCCAGCATAGATTGTGATATTTTGTTTTTGTGCCAATTTTTCTTATGTCACTACAAGTGCATGTTTTCTTCTGTACAAACCATTGTGCCAAATATTTAATAAATCCTTAGAGAAATTTTATCTGTTATTTTTTCTTAAGCTCCCTCCTGTGCCTTTGGAAGTTTTAAAAAGTACACCACAGATTGAAGATGATTTTATTTAATTTCATTGCATTTCAAATCAAATCAAATCAAACTTTATTGTCACAAATTGTTTATACATAGCTTAGCTACAAAACAGGTGACATTGTCAAAATTATAATAAATACATTGTTGATCATCTTACATTCTATAGTTAAAAAATTAAATACAATAAAAATAAAAATAAACAGTGAGATTTCAGTGGAATCCTATTTGAAACCTAGTTGCATTTTAGTGTTTAAAGAAATGCCTATTTGACAAAAACCAAGTGCTCGGTTTTTTTTAAATATTTAAACGATATTTATTACAATAGCTTAGACATTACAAATTTACTGGGGAACAACACATTGAAATAATTATCTGTAGTATAATAAATGTCTCCACTAAGCTATGTAATTGGAAGAAAAAATAAAAATGTAACCATAATGAAAAAGAGAGTTAACATTTGATTGTGGAAAGGCGCTCTTACTTTGTTGTAAAATATATTAAAATACCAGAATTTTTATCAGATCTAGAATTACAAGGATGAAATTCAAACACATAATATAACATAAATAAATGTATTTTACACATATCAACAAAAATAAACATATATCACAACATTAGGGTACAGCATACATTAATACCATTATACATTATTTTGATCACTTAAACCATTGAGATTGTTAATAAGGTGCCAAAAGTCATTTTATATTTCACTACTATTGGAAGACTACTTGAGCATTTTTTTCCTTTTTCCCATTAAATTAAACATTTGAATAATGTTTTTACAAGAGCTAAAAACTAAACCTGTTACGGGCTATTAGACAAGACAAGGATGTAATAATGTCATGATTTTTTTCTAATTTGGACACACATGCTACCCCTACCCAATTGTCACTGTTATGGTAATACAGTAGTAACAGTACTTAAAGGTAAGTCAATGGCCCAAGGCAGAGATGTTGTGGGTTCGAATCCTGGTCACTGTCACTTCTTTTTATCAGTACATTTTATGCACTGTACCGGCTCACCCCTTACTTTGCTGGATACGTTCCACGCACAGGTTCATAGCCTATGTGGACGGAAAAATGCAAGGTTAAAGAGGCTGCCAACCTCTTGAATTTTTTTTTTTTAATTATCCCTTCCAATGAAATTTGGAGATAAAAAATGCATTCTTGTAAATGACGAACCAATTTTTTGTGACAAGTTATATGGTTGGAGGCATGTGCATAATGTGACTTTTATGGGTTACAAACTTGTCTCAATCGTAACAATCAGTTAAGTAGGAAGGGAGAAAATCCTTAGGGATGTAACAGAGACACTTAACAATTGTATTAAGTACAAGCAACATTGTATGTTCTGACTTCTTGTAGTAGGCTTCTTGTTTGTAGCCAGTGACACTATAAATAACTATGGTAGGCCTATACCTGCCATGATCTTAAAACATATGATCATCAAAATATGATAACAATTACACTATGATATAATTAATTAGGTACCTGTCATGATCTTCAAACATATGATCAACAAAATATGATAATAACTACATTACGGATCAAATATTTTTGAAGGATAGAACTGAATTTTCAGTAGCTTCACCAATTATTATCTAGAGCAAATACAAATGTATATGCTTAAAATAAAACATTTAGCACCATATTCTAGGCCTAAGTAGACTATTTTCAAAAGAACCGAGAGATTCCTTATGTTTTCCATTGGAAATACAATCAAATATCAAAATGATAAAATAATTTCTTCTTAGAAGAACAAATTTAAACTACTTAAAACAATGTATCCTCTTATAAAATAATTGTAAAGGTTAAATATAAAACAAACGCAAATAATATGCCTAAAGGATGTACAAAAATCATGAGTATTTTCCATCTAGCTTATTTTTAAAGTAGGTTAATCTGCTGAATGAAGAAATGCTATTGGTTATTGTGCTAAAAGTGATCCAAAGTTGTGAGTTTGATGTCAAAGTTGGTTAGGTATATTTCATTTGGTAAAATTAACGTTGTTTTAAGGTTGTCTCAGCAGCTAAGTCAGATGCACTAAAGCAACAATAAAATATGTCTTTTAATCCAAAGAAAGGGTCTACTGAAAAATTGGTACTTTCGTGTTATAGGGAGGCCACCCTTGCACACTGCGGCGGTTATGTTAGGTTGGGTTATCAAATATGTTTGTAGGACTTTTCTCGTTTCGTTATGAATCGAACGATACAGATGAGTCACACTTTTGCCCGCCAAATCCCCTCCAAGAAGGCCAAAGTCAGGTCCTTGACCGGAGCGCCCACATCACCTGTCACCGCCTGTATCAGTGTCTTGAGTGATAACTCATCTGGTATCGTTTGATTCATAACGAAACGAGGAAAGTCCTTCTAACAAATTTATGATAAAGATAACCCAACCTAACATAACCGCCACAGCACGCTGTATACCTACTTGGCGGAGTACATGTGGCAGCGACGCATTCAACTCAATCCTTGCCGACATCGCTGCCTTCTGGGAGGCAGATGTCGCATCACTGAACTATTATACAGGAAGCCAAATTGTAATGTAGGCCTACCTACTGTAGCAGTTTAGCTGCTTGTAATTATTTAGGTCTATAAGTTAGAAGCAGGAAGTTACGTAAAGCTTTTGACTGTGAGAAAGCATTTTAAAATATCCTATTTTTATTACAGGGAATCAAAATTACTTAAGTTTAACACAGCACAATGCAAATGAAACTTCAAATAATTAACTTAGGCTACTGTTTTGAGCATTGTTCGATTGTTGTGTTTATCAAGGGATATTTTGTTTGTTAGGTACAATTTAGCATAGCTTTTATGGTCTTTAAATGTTGTAAACTACTAACCACATTAAATTCAAATCCAACATTAGCCTAGAGCTCAAGAATTTGAAATAGGCCTATAAAACTCTTAAGTTAAGCCATCCAACTTGATTGCAAGGGGTCTGGTGGATACATATAGTTCACATCTGGACTTTTCTTGCATGTAAATCTGTCTATAAAGTCTTTTAAATTGAAGACATTGCCAAACTTACTTATTAGGCCGGAATCGTTGCTAGCTTTCATAGATGTGTAATGAGGGAGGTTGTGAATATCCTCACAGCTTCTTATAGGAGGATAAGGAGGAGGTGGCATTTTCCATGACGAATCTTCATTCTTCATATCTCTTCGGTCAGAGGAGAAGTATTTTAAGAAGCTTTCAGCTGGTACAACTCGGTACAACCTGTGGCAGAGCGGATTCAGAAAGTCGTCTGATTTGAAAGTCTCTTTACTGTATTCACTAAACTGTGATGGAAACGAAAGTTGTGTGTCCAAATCATAGACCCATGATTTGATTCCATTGTAATACACCATTATAACATGATAATCCCACACGACTAGCCCGTTTTCATGTTTGCTTGAGGATTGCCTCCATAATGGTATGTATTTATTTTCATTTGAAATAAACACAACGAAGCAATTAGGTAAATTTTCTGGGGTGGTCTCTTGAATTTTTTTCACAAGCATCCAGATATTCTCCTCACAGTAATGAGATGTGTAAATGCACTCTTCTTTACTTGGCATACCACCAGGCACATCTTTTGATGCTTGTTTCTGCAGATTGCTTGCCGCCATAATTAAGTTTTAATTTAACATTATCTAATGAATAATGTCTGTGTGGTATTAGTTATTTTGAACACACTAGAAATACAGTATTAGCTGAGTCCATTTATCTTCATCTTTGAAGAACAAAATACTGTAAACAACTGTAATGTTGATTAGGTCTTAGCATTGTACAAAACACTTTGTAGGGGTCATTGCCAAAGCTGGTCCAAGAATCTCGATGCAAAGGTTACAAACCATAATCACTTATTTTAAACTAATACACTAAAAAAATTCACAAAATAAACATAAAAACTAATTAGAAGGGTTGATATTCTAAGTTGACATACACAACACAAAACTAGAGGACAAAACGTAAACCTGTTGTCTGTTGCTGTTCTCGATTTTGACGTCTAGTAGTCGTCTAGTCTAATTTTAGGATAAACATTCATAGAGAAAGAAGTAACAATATATAACAGAACTTGCGTGCAGGAAGCATTGATTATGTACACTAGAAGATGTTTCATCAATGTGGGAAATTAAATGTAAGTAAATCCTAGTTACAATATAAATTAATATGTAAATTGACTTACACTGCACTATACCTGCTCATAATCCTCGTACAAAATAACAACAATTAAGTTGACTCACGAAATGGGCAAAATTATAATTGAATAAATTTATTTATTTATTTATTCATGGCAATGCACCATTTGTCATTAATGAGAGTAGGTACACAATTTGCGATAAGTTTGAAAACAATAAGCATGCATATTAAATACCCCCGCCGCAGCAAACATGCCGACTAAGCGAATTTCCATTTGTCTGAATTGATTTTCAGTTAAATATGTTTTAATAACATTAGGTTTAACGAGTACCTAGGTTTGCTGCTACAAGGAAACTAATAAAGTGTGTTTTTGAGTAAAATATTGATAGCTTAGTACAAAATAAATACATTTGCCAAGTTTGATCAAAATATATCCATAAACAAGCAAACTACAACATTTGACAATATTCTCCATAAGAATAACATGGGAATTTTAAATTTACAATTTTTTTTAATTTTTTTCCGTTACTAATAATCGAACAAAAATACTTTTATATAATAAATTATTTGTTTTTTAAGCTCTTTAAAAAGTTCTAAAGAGAAATTGGGAAATTTTGTGTTTTGAGGGTCAAAAGTGAGAAACCCCAATTTTTACCCCATAAAACCCCCCTGTAAAGCCCTGTTCCCATGGTCCGATCGTGCTGGTTCGCGAACTCATTAAAATTTATCCACCAAATTTCATCAAAATCGGACAAAAATTACTCAAGTTATCGCGTTCACGGACGTATATATATATATATATATAAATTTGAACGAATGGTGTTT